TTCCGCTGTTCCCCCGCACTCGTCGGTTGGGTGCGACACGGGGGGGGAGGCGGACAGTCGTAAGCACGAGGTTGTGGTCAGAGTCCTTGAAGTCGACACGTTCGACGGATACATTACGCACGAAACGCCGGTCCGTCTGACGCATGAGGATGAGGTCGAGGCGGTGCTTTTCCTTCCACTTGTTGGAGCTCTGGAATGTGTGCTGCACTCCACCTTTCGGTGTTCCGAAGTAGGTGTTGGTCAGGGAGAGTTGGTTGTCTGATGTCAGTCCAAGGAGTCGTTCCCCGTTGTTGTTCATTATGTCGCGCTGCCGCGGGAACAGTGTCCATACACACCTCTCACCACTACCACCGTCTGTGCATCCTCACCGCCACGCTGAGCCAGCGCGGCGGTGAGTTGCACCTTGGGACACCACCCGCCTACTATCTGTTGTGGCCTGGTTCGCCCGCGAGGGACTCACTAGGTCGATTTCGGCTCCGGCCGGGGAGCAGGCCGAGGGGGGGGAGAGCTCTCTACTAGTAGATGTTCCAACGGTGTGCGTCTGATACAGAGTAGATTAAGAATATGGTAGCTAGGCATATGAAAGTTCAACATTTTTCGAAACGTGACAACCTAACCCCGACCCTCAAACAGTACCTGGTTGATAATGTGCGTACACCGACTGAAGAAATAAGAAGTCTAGGGTGGCGAAAAAAAAATGTTCTTGCTATCGTGCGACTGCTGTGTGACCGGCCGGCGCTTTCTTTTTTTTCTTTTCATATTTTTTTGTTCTCCGTCACAACACGCAGGTCTGGATACCTCTCGCGACCACGGAGGGGGGCCTGGTGGCGAGCGTGAACAGAGGCTGCCTGGCCATTTCGGAGGGTGGCGACGGCGGGGGGTGGCGAAGCAGCGCCAGCGGCGGCGTTCGGACGGAGGTGCTGGACGACGGGGTGACCAGGGCCCCCTGCATCGCGATGCCCAACATCCGGCTAGCCTCGGAACTGCGGCGGGTACGTGCTTGCATGCGTGGTTGCGAGAGTTGTATGGCTTGGTTGGGTAGGCGGTGGCGGCCGGTGCGCGTCAGGTTGGAGAGACCTGCCTTTTTTTTTTTTTGGTGGGCGACGGGCGCGCCCGAGAGCCGGGCTTTTCGTATATAGAAAGAAGGACTTGCTTTGTGTACAACCATGGAAAGCACACACCCTCCGTTCCAAGCGTACTCTCACCCGTGTCCACACCGCCCCTCGTGCGATCGCTTGAGGGAGAACGTATACGTACTTATATCGAAATACGCCTTGAAGCGCCGTTCAGGTTTGTTCCTTAAAAATCCCGTGAACGAATCCCACCTTGTACAGTGGTATGCCGCACGACATATCATACCGTACCACTCACCATACCGTACCACCATGTGCTCTAAATGAACGAATGGAATAATATAGGACCCGATAACTACCCCCCCTCTCTCAGTGGGCGGAGCGCAGGAGCGGGGAGGATGCTGGCTACCCCCTGTTGTTCGACGCCTTCCAGTCCACCACAAACCACGGCTCGCTCACGTCCGTCACAGCCTCTATGGCAGGCCGGCACGTGTACCTGCGGTTTAAGTGCACCACAGGTAAGGTGGCTGAGGTAACTTGGGGAGGGGGGCGAGAGAGAGAGAGAAAGAGAATGATGAAGGGAGGGAGAGAGAGAGAGAGAGATAGCAGATAGAGAGAGTTGGAGGCTCTTGCTACCAACATTTCCTTGCAGGTCGTTCCCGTGACCCCCCCCCCCCCCCACCCGTCTGTCTCTCTCTCGTGTGCTTTTCCCCCCCTCTCTCCCTCTCTCCCTCCCTCCCTCCCTCCTTCTCCCTCTCCTTCTCTCTCTCTCTTTCCTTCTCTCTCTCTCTCTCTCTCTTTGTCTCTTTCTCTCTCTCTCTCTCTCTTTCTCTCTTTCTCTCTCTCTCTCTCTCTCTCTCTCTCTCTCTCTC